GAGTAGTTGATGTTCTCGTCACTATTCGCAGCAGCGAAGGAAAAAAGTCGAGCGCCGGGATCGAACCCGGGTGCGAAGAAAGCGAACACCAAACTTGTTCATCGGGGGGAAATTGCTAAGGGGAAGAAGACTAAGGCGACGAAACATCCATCGAAAACGTCAAATAAACGTAAGAAAAAATACAGCGCATTGCTGGTAAGCCTCCCCTCAGGGGCTACGAAATTAGAAGGAGCCAAATTCCGAATGCTCAACGAGACTCTGTATACGTGTAGTGGCGATGATGCGTGAGTTGGTCGCGGTTGTCGCTGGTCTTGGCTGGAACTGTTCTGTCAGGTTCAAGATGTTCCAGGAGGATCCGAAGCTCTTCGATGCCTATCATAAGGGGTTTGCCTCACAAGCTGTGGATTGGCCTCGGAACCCTCTGGACGTGTGCATATCCTATCTAAGGAAGCATCCGAAGTTACTTGAAATTGGCGACTTTGGCTGTGGCGAGGCGAGACTGAGTGCCACCTTGAATGGGGTCGCGGGAAGTGAGTGGGAGAGCTTCGCTCTAATTTCCAGTATCCGTATCGATTGTGTGGTGATTACAACTACTACAGCCTTTATTATTATTCCACCTTTATTACAACTGGTGCTGTGTGTGTGGGAGTTTGAAGTCCAACGCCGACTCCAACATGGCTCAGTTGAACTCGCATCCGTGCACATTAGCTCATATTCGGTATCGTATTAATTCGCAATTGTCTCGTTAGTCTGGTGAAGTCATTACATATCTCCTCTCAGGGATTGTCCATTCCTTCGATTTGGTCGCCAGAAACGACTCGGTCACAGCTTGCAATATGGCAGATGTTCCTCTCGAAGATGGGAAACTCGATGTTGCCGTATTCTGTCTGGCGCTTATGGGTGGAAGATTCTGACACCCTCACGTCATCCACTTAGTTGATTTTATCTCAGGTGTTGATTGGCCATGCTTTGTGAAGGAGGCGTGGAGGTGTTTGAAACCCGGAGGGGTTCTTTGGATTGCCGAGGTGCAGAGTCGAATATCCGACTCGGACGCCTTCGTCGCGGCGGTTGAGAAATGCGGCTTCAAAATTAGCAGCAAGGAGGTTCAGCCGAGAGCCTATTTCAACATTTACCGATTCAACCGATTGAGAAAGCGCGCGCCCGAGGGTGAGCAGGAGGTCGATCCGTCCATCCTGGCTGAGTGCGTTTACAAGAAACGATAGCATCTAGTCCTTAACGTCTTTCCGTAGTTCCCAAGCTGTTGTGTGGTTTAGTGTAGAGGGAAAAGTTCGATCTCAAAAGACTCGAAAAGTGTGCGAGTCTCAAGTCCAACTCCTCCAATACGGCCCAGTTGAATATACTAAGCCATATCGTCCGTAACAGCGAAGAAATGAGTTTAGCCCATTTTAGAGGCCCCGATTAATAAGACCGCGACCGGGTTAGTTTCTCTCCTTTCGGCAAAATCAGCTTTCACAGCTGCGGAGGTTGCGTGTAACTCTACCGTTTTCGATGTTGAACTTATCAACTCCCTTAAAACCCATAAACACGACACTATCCTTTTACGTAGAAACCACATTAAGGCCAGAGAGAAATGAATCTGTTCCTTCCCATCGCCCCAGCCTCTTGACGACTGCCCTGTGGTAGTGTCGTGAAGTAACGTTGCGAAACCAAATCTTGTTTGTCTGCATTGAACCGTAGAAGGAAGCCTGAAACATAAGCGATCATGATCGGCCTGACAAGAAGGTCCCCCGACGATCTATCACACAACTTTCTACGCAGCCTTCTGATCCAAGTTGCACCCGCATTGGTTAAATGATGCTAACATTCCACGAAATAAACACTATGCCTATTTCCAGCGAGGAACGCGTAGGAGCCGGAATGAGTTCTCCCGGGCAACACGATGCAGCTCGATCGCAACAGCTACGGTATGACTTAGAACGTCACATTTCGAACAGATCGTCGAGCTGTAGGCGAAATCCGTTCAAGAAGCAAGTAGTCTTTGTTGTGTTGTGTTTGCTTCTCCCATCACTCTTCTTCGTGCATTTGACCATAAACAATCCCATGTTGTTCAAAACTCACGGCGTGAACCACGGAGCGGTTACCGCTCTATGCCACAATTTGAACCGCGTTTCTGTACATCTATGACACATTATTACTTTGATAAACCCAATAGCGATGCCGCAGCCCTGATGATAACCAAAACCACCAGAAGTGACGAACCCTATCAATGGTCGTATCGATTCACTCTCCCCCTTGGATTGATATAACGTTGATTCACCTGAGTCGCTACACTTCCACATTATTTCACTCTCCTACTTACCCTCGTCCTCTTCCGTAGTAGCATATAGATGTGCTAACGCTGATGGAACCCCTCGAGCATCGGCCCTCAGCCTCACACAGACAAGGTCCGCCTTCTCAATAGCTCTATCGTCCCTGGCGACCCTCGGCAGGGCCAGGCCCTCAAGGTCAGCCAGCAAACTCCAGTCAGTGAACAATGGGCTTTCAATTGCCAAACTTTCCCCCTTGAGCGCCCCTGGCCGCCTCAACTGCCTCTCCAGAAGGGTCTTGGCCTGTTCAGCACTACGCCGACGACATGCTGCACTATCGGGGTAGTCCATGGGGAAGCAGGGAACTCCTCTATGCAGCTTCTCCCAGTCATCTTGCCCAATTGCACTAGCCCCAGCAAACACCAACTTTCGAAATGCTGCATTCATCCCATCAGATACGATAACGTCGCATCCGTGCGAAGTAGTGACAACGTGCACTGCACCCCGCTGGACTATTCCCCCCAAAGTAGATGACGCTTCTATATCGAGAGCTCTCATTACAGTCTCTCGAGCTCTGGGGCCCTCCAGAGCAAACCACGACATTTCTGATGGCTTCAGACGCGTCATCGATGACAATTTTCCCATCAACAGATTTTCGAGATGCTCAGTCGCACTAGGATGAACCCAAATGAACGCCTTTCCCGCCGGATTTTCCTCACGCATAACGTAAATCGGAGATAATACCTGCAAGGCACAACACTTTCCATGAGAAACACCGAAGGGCTTACCTCCCCTTCATCTCCCAAGAGCAATGCCGCAGCCCGCAAACGCCCCTCAGAAGCAAACAGCCCCATAGTCAGACTGATACTAGTCCGGAGGCCACGCCCGAGCACTTCATTTAATTCTTCAGAGGTATTACACTGCACCTCTATACAAGGCCAAGACGATCTGTCCATCACGACGCACCTGCGGGTATCTGTAGGAATACCCCCGAGGCACTCCTGAGCTCACTTATGAGATGCTATCCGATGAACGGCCCGTTCACCCTTATCGCGAACTCTCATTGGGATGCCATCGACCATCTCAAATCTGATGATCTCCATCACGTCGCTATTACTACTATGAATTTAACCAGTACCTCTTGGCATGCCAGATGTGGGTGGCCAAGACCCCCCTTTCTTTCCAGAACTGCAGCGTACGCCACCGAGCCTTCCGGGACCGCCGTTGAGGGCTCCTAGACGCCTACAGTGGAGAACAGCTCGATTCACCCGAAACGAACGTCGGGCTAAGATTCTGAGTATAATATATATTCCTCAAGTGAGCTCGCCAGGTGTATACAATTTTTAAATCAGTACCTTGAATGCAATTCACCAAAGAGTACACAGATGTGCCCGTTAGTGAACCAAGTCTCATCATCCCCACCGAGCACGTCAGACGACATTCTAGACTCTCCAGCGATCACACAGAGGACTACTGGAAGAATGCCGATTCGAACAAAACTACAAAGAATAGCATCATTTTATTTTATATTCTCTTTCTAGTCTAGGAGGGATATTTTCACACAGATTGGGACATTTCTCCTCCTACTACATGTGCCCTTTTTTCCAACAGTCTGGCCATCTGAGCTGCACTGAGCCTCCCACGAGGCCTGGCACTGCGTATTCGCCGTCGAAGGCTGCGAACTGGAAACTGCAAACTACTACCCGCTGCCCTTCGACCAAAGACCTATCAGTGACAAAATCCCACGAGAATAGGAAGATAGAAAATCGCTCCGCTGTTACCTGGTGTATTTCCTCTTCCCTTGAGGAGAGGTACTCCTTCAAGCCCAGCATCGCCGGAGGGACAGAGTTATTACCTACCACGTGGAAGTTGGATACCCCCTCAGAGAATGCCTACTACCCGACGTTGACCGCAACGGCTGCGTCAATGGTCGCCGCCCTACCATGGTGAAATCCCAGCTGGACTCGTGAGAATTCCCGGGGGTCACAACACAATCACCAACAGTGAATGATGGATAGAAAATTATTCTTGACAAATTCACTAAGTGAAATTAGTTCACTCCTTCTTGCTAACAGTAGACTTCTTCACAGCTCCACCACCAGAAGTACCCAAACCCATAGCAGTCTTCCAGGCATCGAATATCCACCACTGGAGAGCAGTCAGAGTACCAACCATGAGGATCCTAGGTCCAAGGCCCGCCAGGAACAGATTCTTGATGCCCTCCTGTTTGGCCATCTCCATGAAAGACTTGCCGAAGTTCTCAGGCTTAGCCATTTGAGAGACTAAATTGTCTGCGGGCTGGGAGACGAGGGCGCATCCGATACCAGCGACGTAACCAGAAAGGAAGGTGATGCCAAGCTGAGTGGCCTTCGAATAGGAATCCTTAGGGCGAGTGAAGACGTATTTGTAAAACTGTTCAGCCGCGAATTCAAAGCCAACGAATTTCACTATAGTATAGGGGATTTGCCTATACCACACAGGCTTCAACGAGCCGTAAGGGAAACCAGTCTCGAGCTTGTGTGCGGCCATTTCGTGCCAGCCATCCCTGAGCTTCAAAGGGAAGCTACCAGTTGGAGAACACTGCATCTTCACCTTGATCATTTCCCACGGAGTAAGGGCCAGGTCAGCGAAGAACTCAGCGCTACCACCAGAGGCAGCCCAAATCCAACCGCGATACTTCACAGAATTCTCCTCGCCAACCATGTTGTTGTAAATGTCCTTGAAGACTTCATTCAAGCCGAATTTGAACATCCCTTGGAACGTGTAACCCACCATAGTCGCTGACCAGCCTTTAGAAACGCCTCTGGGCCCCTCCTGGTGAAGAATGCTCTTCCAACCCTGGTAGAGGCTCGTGTACTTAGTCGGATCGGTCTGCATGTTAACCTTCACCACATCAATAGGGCACATTGAAGTGTGTGTAGTACCACAAGCAACAGCACCTCCTAGAAGGCATTTCCAGTAGTAGTCGAGAGTGTGAGGAACAGAGCCAGCATAACGAGAATTCCACTTTGGTGGTTTGGTTGCTGCGGTCACTGAATTGGCAGCTGCAACAGATGATGGCGAGGTGCTACTCATAGAAAAGGAACAAATATTTACTATAACAAAAAGTGCTCATTTCAACTATGACAAAGTTGATACCAACTTTTTCACACGTTTCCGCCCCAACGGGAAATCTCTAGCCAAATTTACCCTTCGTGGTAAATTTCTCCGAAAATCTTGGGCTGCGACTTTAGCTAGAATCCTCATTTTGTGTGCTGGTCTACTTTAGCGACGTCTTTAGTAGAGACCTATACGAAGTGTAAGTGCAAAAAGCCTTAGAAGCCTCAGATAGTAACCGCAGTGTCGTATAACGACAGCTGACTATTCCCATTCAGATCGGTCGACACAAATTCTGTCCCCACTATATAACTCAATACCACAAACTACTGATGCAACGTAGAATAGCAACGAAGGAACGCGTAACGTGTAATCATAACGATGATGACAACGACGACAGACACTCTGAGTAACAAGGAAATCGCCACCAGCTCAATTTTGCTTCTTAACAGCAGCACCACCAGAAGTGCCGAAACCCATGGCCGACTTCCAAGTGTCGTAAATCCACCACTGGAGGCCCGTGAGGGTACCAATCATGATGATGCGGGGACCAAGACCAGCCAGGAATAGATTCTTCACACCTTGGGCTCGGGCCATCTCCATGAACGACTTCGACTGGTTCTCAGCCTTAGCCATTTGAGAGACCAAATTGTCTGCTGGCTGTGATACGATCGCACAGGCGATACCAGCGATGTAACCCGAGGCGAAAGTAATGCCAAGCTGAGTGGCCTTCGAATAGGAATCTTTAGGGCGAGTGAAGATATGTTTGTACATCTGCTCGACCGTGTACTCGAAGCCAACGAACTTAACAACAGTATAGGGAATTTGACGGTACCACAGAGGAACGAGGGAACCCATAGGGAAGCCAGTGACGGTCTTGTTAGCGGCCATTTCCTTCCAAGCACCACGAAGACCTAGAGGAAAAGTACCGCTGGGAGACGCCTGCATCTTGACCTTGATCATTTCCCAAGGGCAAAGGAAAACATCAGCGAAAAACTCAGCGCTGGCAGCAGCAGCGGCCCAGATAAGACCACGGTACTTGATGGAATTCTCCTCGCCAACGAGAGTATTGTACTGGTCCTTGAACACTTCGTTTAAACCGAACTTGAACATACCCTGGAAACTGTACCCAATGCATGTGGGAGCAGCGCCCTTTAGGGCCCCGGAACGAATACCCTCCTCAGCTGTCAGAGTCCCAAGACCCGACAAAAGACCACGGTACTTGGAAGGGTTCACTTGCATGTTCACTTTAACGACATCAATAGGGGTCATCATAGTATGGGTCGTGCCGCAGGCCAAAGCGCCGCCAGCCAGGCACTTCAGATAGTAGTCAGTGTTGTGGGGGACAGCCCCGGCAAATCGGGAATTCCACTTCTCAACGGGAGTAGTGGTAGAGGACATCAGAAAAGTAGCAAAACGGAGCTACCACGCATAAGCATCAAAAACAAGTTTCAGATGATGCACATGACTGTAGTATTGGATTATTTTGAATTGCATCGTATTTGATTACAGCGACATGGGATGAAGCTCATAACTGCAGCGCCGCGATGTTACAGAAAAAGATGTAGTCGAATGTTGCGCGCACGCCATTGTGATCGATAACTCGAGACGCATTCCTACGAAGATGTTCGAATCTAGTGAACTCACCCAATGATGGTATACTTAATATGTAACCTTTACGGGGCTGCCGTGTACACCTCCGCCCAAACACAACGATGAAGGAAGAGGTAGATGTCCTGTGAAGCAGCGCACGATTGCAGCACCTCGTAGGCTAGTATTGGAAATCATTCCGGTCTGGACACTAATGAATATCATTGAGGTCAAACGTAGTTGTCATTCCTTCGTAGGCATACTCTCTTGCTAATGGCTGCAGCTACAGATAGGAATAATACTCGCGGTACCATTCTGATCACTGGTGCATCGGCAGGCGTTGGTATGGAAGCCGCCAAGGCTCTTATGCAGGACGGTTGGCATGTTGTTGCCGCCGTTCGTAACGTTGAGAAAGGTCGTCGTGTACTTGGGGAACAAGCTGATGTCATGGAGTGTGACCTCGCCAACTTCGACTCGGTGGCGAAGTTCGCCAATGACTTTAAGAAACGTTATGACCGCTTGGACAGGTTGGTGCTGAATGCTGGTGTTTACATTCGTACCAAAACACCAACTATCAATGGCTTGGATGAGACTTGGCAAAGTAACTTCTTATCACATTTCCTATTGACACTACTGCTACTACCAGTCATTCGATTGCCAGAGAACTCCGCAGTTATCATGTTGTCATCGGTCTCACATAGGTTGGTCGATCCTTACACTCTCGGTGAGCATATGGGCAAACCTGAGGGCTACACTAAGGAGCAAGTTTACTATGGTAGCAAATACTCCATGACCGTCTTCGCATTCGAGCTCGCTCGTTTGACTGGTCTGAGGACTGTTGCTGCCAACCCCGGTGGTGTCGACAGCGACATCTGGCGTGAGAGGTCATTCTTCTTGAGGTGCCTCTCGGCCACCGCCTTCCTGACAGCCCGTGAAGGAGCACAGACCACCATCGTTGCTTGCAATGACCCCTTAGCTGACAAGTACCTCTCGCCGTATCCCGTGGTTCAGTGCTGTGGTTCTTTTATTGCTATTATGACCGATCTTGTTGTCCCAAGGTGTATGCTGTACTTCTACAAGAAGTTCAAGTGGGCTCTCGGACCAGACGCTAAACATATGAGAACCAAAGTTGGATATAGAGCTCGTGATCCCAAGGCGTGGGGCTATGTATGGGAGCAAGCTACCAACATTCTTTCCTCGAAGGTCGAGCCCACAGTCTGGGAAGAAGCGATGAAGAACTTGAATGAGGCAAAGATCGTCCAGAACCCCTCTTGAGTGTCGTATCATTCATTCTGCTGAATTTTTACTCAAATGTGATTTAATGTTAACACTCAGTATTGTTGTGTGGCCAATAGAGGGTGTTCGCATTGTGCAATTGCGGCGGATGGTAGTACCAGCCTGGTAGCGTGTGGAGTTTCCCATCTGCTCCATATTAGTCGACGTGTCGTTCATCGAAAAACTCGTCTAGTTAACGAACTAGCACACACTGCTAAGTCTGGAGTTAGGTAGGTAGAACTTGAGTCACCTCGGTGTCTTCCAATAGCAGTCCTGTCCGTTACGGTTTCGCTGTTGATTGGTTGGGAAACTTGAGTGCATAACATGCTTGTACGTTCCACCACCACACTCGGTCAGTTGTTGGGAAAGGATCGCCGCTCGAGAGAGTGATACCATTCCTAGTCAGAAGTGCTATCTGAAGGTTATCCTCAAGCCGTAGCGGCAGCATACACCTCTGCTTTGAGAATACAGCATTCTGGATGTTTTTGCGTTGCCGTGAATCTTGGGGCCTTCCAACGTGGAGCTTGACGTGTGTGATGTCGCCGAGCTTGTGGCTTTGATTTGGGGCATCTTTGAAAATTATCTGGAAAATCCTCCGTTTTCGATTTGAATCGGATTTGCTCATACATGGTCGGGCTTCCAAATCAAAGGAACATGGTATAAGATGGTACTTGTTAAGGAAGCGCGTACGGAGGATTTAGAGAGAGAGGACATGTGTGGGAAGTTCTCACTGGAAACTCATGTGTTGTTGTCGTCTTTCCTCATTTCTAACTTTAGATCTTGCCCGAGAAATGAAGCAGCATAACCAGAACGGCCTAACCACTCACAGTTCTCACCGCTAAGACTTTTCATGATATTATCACTAGTTGGCACCAACGAGGGAAAGAACCCATACTTTTGAACCAAGCACTGAGTACGAACATCCGACCACTTGGTATTGCCAGCACGCTTCTTAATATCATCATTATTGTTCTTGTTAAAGAACTGCCTACCACGTTGACCAAACGCAGACATTAATCAGCAATGAAAACTGTATAAACTATAACCTCAAGTAAGCGACGTACTCTAATACCACAACTAATAGTAATAACTCGATAAGTACATTGTGATCAATGTTATACTAGCGCTAGATACTGACGCATTTCGTGTATCGCTATATCACAAAAACATTCTTCAATGAAGCACTTGAGCTATTACTCAATCAACATAGTCAGACGTAGTTGCACTTTAGTTTTTATATTCCTAACGTGTTTGCAGTTTTGTGATCATACTATGGTTGTCCGTAAAGACATCTCCACGTCTTCATCACGACAGTGAAAGGTGCATAATCGGTATGCAAGTAGCTTCACTTGTTTCAACTATGATGTTTGTAAGTGATAAGCACAATTCCTATAAGGCCAACCGTTGAATTCCACTACTAGTTCTTATAGCCCAAATCACCTTAGGAGTAACAACACAACACTTATACCAAATACCGCAAACACACTAAACAGCACAATGAAGTTTAAACAATGATCCAACTTCTATTCAACTTCGCAACTAGTTGTGATCTCTGTGCAAAGCGAATGTTGGTGCAAAAGGTAATCCAACATTCAGAGTAGGCCCACAACTTGCGTTTGTCACCATCCAACAAACATAACTTGTCATCACCTTCCACCAGCACCTCCTCACCGTCCTTCATTCCTTTAAGACGATAGAGGTAGGGGTCGTCTCCACCCGCATACCAATCGTCTTCAATATTGACGACAACATACTCTTGACGAGTGGTGTGATCGAGACAGAAGTTCGACCACAGTAGCACTTTGTCTCCGATGACGATACACATCCTTACAATACAATAAGTCTGTACCACGAATCACCAAACGCCGTTGGACACAGCACCGTATCTGGTACGGATGCTCTCATCGGCAGCCAGCACCACGGTGTCGTCATAGATCACATTAGTCGCGGCACGTCTGTTGATGTTGTAAGGGCCTCCAATACCGACCGCCACAATGAGGCGTGTACAGTTGTCGGCCTCCTCCTCAGACATGCGACTAAGATCCATAGCTGGAGCACCTGCATTGGCGAACTGCTGAACATGTTCACCGCCGGGTCTCAGACCGGCGTCCCTGATCAGGTCGGCCACAGCGCGCTGTTGACGATCAGCCATGCTTTCGTGATGCTGAGCCAGATGGCTACACGGAAGATTTTGGTGTAGCCACTACACGTTCTCACATACCGTGCCAGCGCCTACGAGCCTTCAACTCAACTTGAGCTACTTAAGTAGATGCCACTGGCAGCATGCCAGTATGTGAAGTGAGAGTATCGCAAACCGCTCATCGGGCGTGTGGTGTAGTGGTATCACGTCTGCTTTGCATGCAGAAGGCCCCGGGTTCAAACCCCGGCACGTCCAATTTCGTATTTCTCACAAAACTCGACCTCGCCACCTCATTTTGTCCAATCGAAAGTTGACTATCGCAGTGACTGGGAACCAGTCAAAGCCCGTTTCCTTCAACATTTTAATACGGGTTGCGATCACTGCAGTATCAACAGGGCTATCCTCAGGCAGTGGTAATCCGGAATCACTACTGATCATGCTTCGATCTACACACTAAGCCCCCGTAAAATTTGTCATTGATGGACTGGAAACAGAAATAATTCCTGGGGAATCAGTAGACTATTGTTGACCGCTTTGATTTACTCATTTTGTGATACTTTTCAGCGTGTATATACGTCGAGGAACCCCACATTAGTAAAAGAGTCCGAACAGAAGGATCAGAACGAAAAATAGGATAAATAACCCCAACACTGCCAATAACCCAAAACGACATTCCTGCCATGCTTCGCTCCACTAGAACACTACACTATCGTGATCACAACATGGACAACATGCGGCCTATTCATGGGAGTCCTCCGTGACTGGAGACGTATCTCCAACGCTAGCCGACTTTATGATTCCATCACAACAACCATCACCACTAGTAGTAGTCTCCTCTTGTAACTAATATGAACACACTACAATAGCATCGCCAAGCGGACCAGAAGAACTTCAGGGGAAGGAATACTTTCCAATCAACGCTTTCTCCCACAGTCGAACCATATACTCGAAGACTCTCAATCTAAGGAGACCTATGGCCATCCAAACCTACCTCACACGACGACGGCGGCCCCTCAAGTTCGACCGCTTCCTTCTCGCCTTCTTCCTTGCTCTTATCTCCGTCCGCTACATCGCTCTCACACTTGAAGTACATCTAAGACAACGAAAACGCCCAACAAACTCCTGCATGCACAAGAAAGAAGATACCACTCGGGTAATTCCCTGTACTTAAAATCCATGATTAGTTGTAAAGCATACAGTATCGGACGAACACTTTCGCTTAGTGAATCTCTTTTGATTCAAATCGAGATGAACTGTTCAAAAATTATAACACCGTGAATATAATTTTCGAATATTTTGCGTCATTCAAGACAGACTAGCGACCGCCAACTTTACAAAAAGGGGCTCAACCTCAACGACACGATGATGAATTGTGCAAGTGAAAAGTACACGGATAGATTCAAAAACTCATTATCATAGTATAGTCACCTGCACTGAGGGTTCCCCAGCCAATACTACTCGATAGCTCGGACTATTCTTCAAGGCTTGATCCATCATTGCAAACCCATTGGCCACTACTCCACAAATCTGAGTGAACTCTCGAGTGCCCAGGAAGGCCAATACGTCCTGCACTCCCCCCAGCGCTGCAGAACATAGAAAGGATACCTGAAAGACTATCGTAAAACCATCATGTTCATTCATCAAGAACGTGTCAGCAATACTAGCGCTCACGTTCTAATACTACACTAGATACCACTCCTACATGTTCATCGCCAAAATGGTATACTACGCCTGTCTCCAAAACGGACGGGGAAAACAGAAATGACTATGGTGTGTCAATTTGATTTACAAATGTGAAAAATGTGTTGTTTTCTGAAACTCATAAGAATTGAACTGAAACCATATCGCATATACAACGAAACTATGAACATGTATAAAAGTAACTTCTTGAAATTATGGTATCGACAACTCGTTCACATTCGTTGAACCCGTAAAATACCACATGTTTCCCACATTTGAATATCAAACTTACATACAATATAAACAATTCTTCATCGATTCACAATCTGCAATTATCACTTTCGGATGGTTGCTCCCGTATATACAGACCAACCATCTCGCCACAAAAACAATGACGAGTTATAATACGAACGCTGTACAATATGAGATTCTCGTCACAGTCTTACCACACTTCACTGAAGAGAGTGCGAAATCCACCAAGACACAGTAACTTACCTTAGTTGCTATTGACGATAGCCTATCTACATGCCTTTGCAGTGGTGTGGGGTCAACCTGAGATGCTCATCTTGGGGTTGCCGAACACAATATATACTATATCATTGATAGCGCCTTTTATATCAATTAATATAAGCTTAGTCTATATATAAAGCTTCACCCAAGATATTGATAATAATAATAAATTAAAAATATTAGAATTGATGGAGTTTCACCACCCGTGATATGAAAAACACTAGTGAAAAATATCTCTCGCGACTACTGAGTTTTTCACTGACTACTACGCCACTTCACATAAAACGGATGAAACTCCAATATTACTATTGTTAAGGGATTATATTATATACTTATAGAGGTATCCGTAATGAAACCTTGTTCGTCTTTCATTAACACTATTCTTGAAACCAAGACATAATACACCCTAGTGAACACACATGAACTCTTCCAGAGGCCTACAGTGTTGTTGTTCTCTTCCTCCTCAGATATGCTAAACATGACCACCTCGAGCTTAATCACACATAACTCTTCACCGCTGATCTCGATCGAGTACTTCCATAAACAACCTAACCAACGTGGGATCTCACAATAGGAAATATAGACAGTTTACTCACCGTCGTCGCTTGCCAGCGTCAACACCATATCCTTTGTCACCTCCTCAACGAAAACGAACTCAGTCCCTCTCACTGGTAGGCTCGGACATATTCGGACGAGGGAAGGCGCATACCACTCCTTCTGCAAAAATAATCCCGACATGCTAGGATAGCGATCGAGCAGGAGATACACGTTCGACACACATCTTCAGAACTGCTTTTCTTTCATTACTATTATGACCGATCTCATTGTCCCACGAAGAGTTTCCTCACTAATTATACAAGTTTTCACCAGAATTCGAATACAGAAACTCACGATAAATTTCCCCACTCTCACTAACCCATGTAGTTGACCATGTGCATGTTTTCTCACATTAATAGTACTATTCATATCATTCGAGAGTTTACACTCTTCCGGGATGTAAATTTCTCGCTCGTCGAGTAACAGTCCAAATTCATGCTCTACTTCTATAAAAATTTTCAGCGGGCCCTCAGACCAGACGACATACTATAGTGATCAAGGTACTACTATCGATTCGGAATGTGCATGCGATAGTGATACCTTGATCAGAATTTCTGATACAAAAACCGCAATTACTCTTCATCAAATCTCACTCCAACCATCACGAACGACACCACCCTCCAACCTTACCTTGCTTCTTCTCCTCCTTATCACATACTCCTTGAAAATTTCTCTATCATAGTATCTGCAAACACCTCCCATCATCACCACTACCCCAACAACAGCCTACCTCGGGACCGATAAAAAGTCCCTCAGGACTGCCCGAAGCACCTCAGCCCCGCACATCGCAGGGCGACTCTCTACCACTACAGTGTAGTTGGGCACTGCAGACGATTCACCTTCCATTTTGAAAACTATACTAAGGGGGTTATCAAATATCTTCGTCTATAGCACGCCCCATCTAGGGAGCGAAAATTCGCGTCCTTTTTCTATGTGAATGTGAAGCTCTCGCATATAGTTGGATTTCATAAAGCTTGCCAATCGATTTTCGGAAAAAATTCATTGCAATTTTCTACAAGTGTCCGACCTCGGTATCGAACCTGCGCCATCCGTACGCAAAACGAATACAAGCACGACAAGTAACACAGCTATTGGTAGACATCATGACATGTTCTGTCGTTCTCGCATTAGCTCCTTCTCCTCCTTCATCATCTCCGCTCGATGTAAATGACCAGCGTACCTTTTAGGCTTAATAATCAACATTGACGTCAGTGTGGGAAATACGCACATGGTCAACTACGCGAGTTGATAACAACATGAAAAAATAGGAAATTTCGGGAAACTTTTATTGGTTTCTGTACACTTCCATCTCGATGCGAATGTGAACTTCTATAATCAACAAGGAAATTCCTGAGCTCAACTGAGGAAACGAAACATATATTCCAACACTGATTGACAAAAATATACTCCATCTCTCGAAGGAATAACAGTTTTCTTTCACACAGCACATAAAAAGATATCTATATACACCATTCCGCATACACGTGAGTTCAAGCTCCAACACGGCTCGATCAAAATTATCGCTACGCACAGTGCTGAACAAGTCGCCATAATATTCCCCGCATATCAATGATGAACCAAGCGCAACCGAAACATGCCTACCATTCTTGGGCCAGCGCAGCTTCATCATCCGTTACCACACCATTGTCGAAACACTTCAAGCGGCATCCCGATCCTAATAACAACGACAAACCAATTCCCTTCCATCTACACCTCTCTACTGACCTTCCTTGGCTCTTGTCAGCGCCCCCACTATAAAAAGTCGATAAACTCTCCCACGAGCTTCTATAGGGTTCCCATTAGCTGTCAGTGATCTCAACTTGGGTAACTTCCTCAGCTTTAGGAATGTTGACAGCCTGAGTAGTAGATAGAGTAGATACCAGATAGCGCCCAAACAACAGAAAATAGTAGCAGTGATGGTAGCAAAGTGGTCTTAATAGCGATACCAAGAGGGAGAAAGCACATTGACACGAATTGGCCTCTAATCAAGCAGCATACATCCTCCTTCAGAGTCGGACTTACCCAAATGCAGTTCTCTCGAACAGTAAAAGTAAGAACATACGACCAACAAAAAGTGAATACATACATCAAGTGTATACGTGATCAATGACAAGGGAGAGTTGAACGAAGACACTCTCAACCCATACGAACAAGAATCTTCCATATCACGGCTAGCATCTAGAGAGGATGAGGTGTCCATATTTGTGATGCTGCTTTCACATCTATACCATTCGATTCTGTGGACTTCACGAATCTTGAATATATGTTATATTGATAGTATATATAACCTCAGCGATTGTCTCAGAAACCGCGCAAATTTTGCGAAAAGCTTCAACAACTACAAGATAGCGTCGATATTCCGATCAACTCCCACATCGAAAACCCTCTACCATGAAAACCAGACTTCAACCCACTACGACCAGCGACCATTAAAAGACGAAATTCCTCTATTGCGAAGACTCACCAACTCCCCTACTTGTCAATTCGGTTGCCATGCAAATAGATAGCTTGCAAGTTCGGGTACTCCAAAATGTCCTCATCAACACGCGTTAGATGATTGAACGAAAGATCGAGAATTTGCAGTCTAAAACAACAACAGCAACATCAGACACAGATAAAATGATGACTAAAAGACTACCTCTCAGTGTGCTTGATCATCACCGCCGTCAGCGAGTCCGACAAACCAGCTAGAGAAGTGAGCTCATTGTTATTAAGCTTGAGATACACTGTTATCGGTCTTGTCAGAATTACAGGCGTATTGCACACAATCACACTTGGCTCTTCGATCTCGGGTTCAATTCTCGACAACTGCAATTCTTCCTCCCACGTTGCAGAACCTGAACCACATATTGAATACATACAAGTTTCACCACCCTAGTGATATGAAAAACACTAGTGAGAAACATATTTCACGACTACTGTGCCGCGAATATAGCGTTTTTCACGGTGTATTACGCCACTTCATGTAAAACGGGTGAAACTCCATAGTCTTGACATTTATACAAGGAATATACAAGATGACAAAAACCACAGCTCGAAAATGCGCGAAAAAATCGCCTAAAAAAACTCCCAAATTCGGATAACCCCAAATTTTAAGAAACTCTAAAGTTTCTCAGCTACACAAAGCCAGGCTTGCACGTAATAAAGCATGTACGAACTTAGTGATCTACAGAGTAGTGTTCACCAGTCATAGCTGCACGAGAATGTGGTATACGAAACTGCAGTATAACAAACACGAATGTGTGACCGAGCAATCGCGCCACCTCCTATGACACAGAAAATATCATAACCACTGTTTGTTACCTTCAACTGAGCTCGTAAGTTTCCTCAACACAGCATAAAAACCAACGATAACTTCCCAGATTTTCCTCGCAATTTCCACATTCTACCAACATATGTAGTTGACAATGTGCATATATTCCCACATTGATGACGACAACTGTACAGCCTACCTCCACCCTCCTCGTCGTCCTCATCTTCCTCCTCAGATTCGCTCTCCTCTTCATCCTCGTCATAATCGTCATCGATCGTTACAACGACTGGCTGCGTATTGACAGCTTCACCAGTCGCCAACTCAGCGCCTTCCTTCGTTTTCTCCTCGGGAACTATCGGTATTCTTTTACCGGTCCTTGGGACCTCCCTGATCATACCTAACGCATGCAGGGAAATCTGCTCACTTTTTCAGGAGTTTTCACACAAATCATACCACAAATTTTCGAAAACCAGCGAAAATTCCCAGAAAAATTCCTCAAAATTTTCATATTTTCACCGACATATGCAGATTTTCCCACACTCATCATTTTACTCACCTTCACACTTCTTAAAATCCATGAATGAGAAGTCGAGCGGTTCGCCCGTCACAACCACATTACCAACAATACGAGTATATTCAATCTTCGGTACTCTAACAGGAGGTCCTCCTGTTATAGTATCTGTGTCATCCGACGAAGTGAAATGCCCTACACATTTCACTTCGTCGTCGGACGACGACACCTTTTCCTCTAACTCGTCAACTTCTACAACAGACATACAAAGAGAATACACTATCATCACGACTGATACCAAAACCAGCAGAGACACTATTCCTCAATACAACTGAAGTATTGAGTTTTGGATAAATCAATGTGGGAAAATGCACACGGGAAACTACATGTGTTGACGACAATGTGAAAAATTTATGACGATATTTCTAGAGAATTCCCATTGGTTTCTTTCAAATTCACATATAAGAACTATTTTTGTTAGTGGGGAAACTCCCGAACTCAGCTGAGGAAAATGAACATATATTTTCCAACACAGAAATCAATACTGGAGTCGACTTTGCAACCGCAAAATACCCCGTACCCTTCTTATACCACAATTAACAACAAACACTATAAGATCTGAAACAGGACGAAACAACTTGACCACCACCACCAGCAACAACAAGTAAACCAAGACGCTTCAACGAACTTGATCTTTATCAATGGCCTCAGATACATACTAGCTGCTATACATGACGATCAGTTTGAAACAGCAATAGAATAACGAAGAATAGTGACGAACGGAGGAGAAAACTAAATTAATACACTCGTCACAATGCTCACTCTGCTGCGACAACTGAGGATCAACCTCATCAACAACACCAACGATCGCTAGTCAAGTTACTAGATAATACTTCCATTACAACAACTTATTCGATGCATGCAACTTGGCGGAAAACATTGTAAATACACTCTCTCGAACGTCCATAATGATAAGTGATAGTAGCAGCAATAGTGTATATGAGCGACGATAGCAGCAACACCGAAAACATGGTAAGCACCATCTCTCGTCTCAGGTTCTACACCCAGCTAAGACACTTTTCCACACCTTCTTGCAGAAACAAATACATTAGATCGATAACAACAAATATAACAATCACTACTATTATTGTTCTTATCACGCTGCAGCACAGCAGAGTCTTCATTACGGCTACTGACGATAATAGTTAAGTCTAGACAAACACTGAGGCCTCGAATTAATAGTGTTATTCCATCATTACCAGTAGTACTACTTAAAAAAATACAACCACACGAGAGAGAGAACAGCAAATTGATGCTGGGGTTATCCATGTTCACGACGACGACAACAATGATGATGATGATGATCTTGATGCACCTCATTCGATCACATACAACTATATGTATACTACGACAACTACTAGTAGCAACACTCTACTATCCTCCTCATCTACTGCTACTACCAACAACAACTTCATCTACACGATGAAGAATGATAGTTAAGAAGGGAAGAAAAAGGACAGCATGCACAGACTAATATCATCATAATTCCGCGAACCAACAACTTTTCATCACATAAAAATTATACTCCTTGCAGCAGCAACTCATGCCCTTGTACCAACATTAGGACTCGCCACACTAGAACGTCTTCCCCTGGTGTTCCCCGAAAAACTAGCGTCAGTGCAAGAAGCGCTATATGCACTCGAACTGGCGCGTCTGCGGTTATTCGGAATAGAGAGACCATTCTTGGGTGGAGCCTTGCCAAGACCGGGCACGTTGATCCGACCAGCTCGCTGCAATTTCTCGATCATATACCATCCATAAGTAAACTTTTTCAAAACCTACATAACAACATAACATAGAAAATTGGATTCTCACCCTAGTGATATGAGAAACACTAGCAAAAAACATATTTCACGACTACTGCATATCACCGCGATTATCGTATTTTTCACAGAGTATTACGTTACTTCACGATAAACTCCAATATATAAATATATAAATAATCCTAAGATTATGATTCCCCACGAAAATTCATATTCAGCGATCTATGTTATCATCTACGTCATTCACATGTATTCTTATCAACATACTATAAGCAATCAGAACACATCGGTAAACCATAAATTCAAAATTCATTCAACTACGAACATTTCCACGCGAATCTAGAACAACTTGACAAATGAAACCAACAAAATTTCAAATTCATACCAATCAATTGACGAACCACCGAGAAGATACTTGCCTCAACATTGTCCTCGATAAGTCTCCTAACAACCTTCACCTCGGGCATTTCTCGCTCATCGTGATTTAGAATGCGTCCAACAACATAATTGGCGTATCGATCTTTCATCATACTCACGATAGGGCACGACGCGGGCACTCCTTGAGTGACTGGTGTCAACAGCACTAAAAATAGAAAAACTAACACAAACGCTCGACAACAGCAGCGAACCACAAATGCACAACAACCTATACACAACCACAACCGCAGCATTATGAATGCGATAAACGAACTCCCGAAA